TGAGAGAGAGGTATCTCTCAGGCTCAGGTGATGACAGGGAGAGAGACCAGCACATTCAGGCAACTTCCTATCAGGTAAGTCACAGCTGTTTGTTCTTGGAGTGCTCAGAGACCACGAAATACACTAATCCTTTTTGGCCTGAGTTCACCATTATGTGGGACCACGACTGAGAAATACAAATGCCTAACACTCACCAACTGACTTAGTGGATGAGTCATTAGCATTGCCTGTTCTCTGCACAATTCTACAAATAATTCTTCTGAAGTCAGGCTATACAGCACAGGAAAATCGCCTTGCCTATGAACTGCGTGTTTATGTATTTATACTTATGTCTTCTACAGGATAGAAATATAACCACAATTTGTATTTGTCTCATGAGATTTGCCCACTGTGTTACTCAGGCCAGAAACGCCAAAGAAAGATATAATTCATAGGTGCATAAATATTCTTTAATAAAATGTACATAAGATGCTATATGCCTAGATGAAATATAGGATGCTATGTCATATTATTTACTACACATATTGAATAATGGATATTATGGCCAATGGATTACCCTTAAAGTATCAGTAATAACCAATACATCTAGATTGTCTTTAGTGGTTTAGCTACCAAATAAATGAAACGTCATAACTGGGAGAAACTCCACTTGTAGACACATAACATTTGTTTTCAAATAGTGAATTATAAGGAGTAGGAAACCACATATTGTGTCAGGAGTTTGTTTAAGTGTTGACACCTTCTCAGTGAACGTAGGAATTCCAGATGCCTTATAGAAGAGAAACCATTCTTTTCCCTTGAAATTTATACAGAAAATTTATATGCTATTTTCAAATAATCACATACTGCATTTGTTATTTCTTCTCTTTCCCCTGCTTGGATTAGAAACAAAGGGGAGTTTGAAAATTTGGAAAAACTAGAAATTATCTTTTACTTTTATACTTATTGTCTTTGAAAATGTCTGATGCTTAATATGTGTGTTTATAGATGTGTTATGTGCATGTATATACTCCTCAAAATCAATGTAAGCAATTATGTACTTCAAACATGTACTAATAACAATTAAAAGGAAAAAAAGTCATCATCACAGAAAGTATTATAATTCCCCTATAAACATCAGAATCATGTAATAAAACTTCTAATATTTCAAATTTAGAATATTTAGAATCAGAATAGTATGAAGCCCTTGCATTTTATTATAAATACACTTATAAGCGCAAATATATATGCATATATAATATTGACAAAGTAACTTTAAGAACAGATATATGATAACACATTATGTAAACAGTATTATTCTTTGAGCTAACGTATTTTGTAATATCTTTCTATATGTCACAGATATTGAAAATATGATCAGTGAAACCATTAAAGACTAAATTTTAAAGCTTTGTTTGGAATATTGCCATTTCCATTTATCTTTGACTTACCAAGAAAGTTACTTGGTCATACTCCATCAAGATTAAGCATGAAGAAAAATCTCACTGTTGTCAGTGTGCATGTCTAGAGGGTTGAAAGAAGTGGTGCTTAGTTGGGTGTGGTGGTGCACAATCTGTAATCCCAGTACTTGGGAGGCTGAGGCAGCAGGATCTTTGTGAGTTTGAGACCAGCCTGGTCTACAAAGTGAGCTCAAGGCCAGCCTGAACTGCATAGTGAGACCCTGTCTCAAGAAAAAAAAAAACAAAAAACAAAACAAAAAAAAAAAAACAAAGAAAGAAGCAGTGCTGGAAATGTGCCCAGTAATTAGTGAAAGGCAATTCTTCTGGGTGTGACAGTGAGGAAGGTGTATGCTTGTGAAGAAACACCTGAATATTCATCTTCAGTAAAATCTTATGGATAGGTTTGCTGCATACTTTCCTGTGTATGCAAATGTAAGTGTAGTTTCTGGTTCATTCCTCCAAGGAAGGAGCCCAATAGGAGCACATGGAGAGATGTTGCTGCTACTGGTTGTTGATCATGCTTTGATCTTGGGAAGTGGTTTTCAGTAGCTGTTTATACAATTCCTCATAAAGATCTAGATTTTTCTCTGAGACATAATAAGGTTAACTATGCACATGCCAAGCTCTCTCTTTCCTTCAAGTTCTGTCGCCATATTTCTGCTGTCTTTATTCTTTTTCAAAATGGTAGAAAGTGACCAGCACGACTAAAGTATACCTTCCTGTCATGATGCACAATTATATCAAAGACTGTAATTACACAGAAATGATCATTAATTCCTGAAAAAAACACTTGTTTCGTGGAAGTGAAGCAGCAAAGGCAAATGTGTTGGAGACAAGCCGAACAAACTCTGTCCCTAGACCACCAGAAGGACAAACCTCCCTTGTCTCTTCTAACCATTTCAGATTATTCAGGGCCACAAACTCAATGAGAGAGGACTTTTCTCTCTTTGCCATTTCACTTTCTCTGTGCCAAACATCTACTGTGGCTTCCAATGAATCAAGTTCTCCTTCCTCTCCTCCCCTGGAGGCTACACTCCCAGCAAATGTCACCAATAAAGTGGAAGCATGCCTTTCCCAGGCTGAACTTGTAAACAGAAAGCAAGAACACCATTCTTCACCAGGAAACTGACCTACAAAGCTTATTGGATTCAGTTAAAGAGATTGAGAAGAAGGTCAGCTAAGAAAACAAAGGGAACTCTCCCATAGTTCCCTCTGATAGAGTTCTACCTACCCCAAAATAGAGCCTTGTCCAAGGCAGAGGAAATGAAAAAGAGGGCATGTTAGGTGAGGGCTCTGCAAGCAATAGACTCTCATAGGTGCCTTATTTACATGCTCTGTTTGTCTTCTCTTTCCCAGGGAATAACTCCTTCTATATTTATTTATTTCCAATTTGTTACCACCTCCTTTTTCACGCTATAATGTCTACTAACAGAGTATCCTGTAAAAACTCCATTTCTTCTGAAATATATATATTTATTTCTGTATATATATATATATATATATACAGAAATAAATTGCTGGTATACAGATAGATATATATACATAAATATATATATATATATATATAAATAAATTGCTGGTATACAGATTACACATCTATGCCATTATAAACCACCTCTCCTATACATGAACTTCTGTCCAAGTAGGTAAAAGTATAGGGATACCTTTATTTTTCTGAATTAACAATTCCATGCTCATTTAACTCTTAAATTACTATGATTTAAGATATAGGTGACGTTGACTTAGAAAGACCTTAGTTCACAAACATTTCAATAAAACCTTCTATATCTGCAATATTTACTTTTACATTCAGCCTTATACTCTCAAAAAAATATTTCTAGGGATACCATAAATCAACATAGAGTGCTTCCCTAGTAAAGAGTTAAAGAGGTTAGGAATACGAATGCAAGCAGTTGAGATGGCATGCTTGTGTGTTTGCAAAAACATTTTCTGCATTATGTCCAAATCCCTTTGCAAACAGATAAATTACTCTATAAATCTTATTACTCCATGTGGATAAATCACCATGTAGGTTTACAAGGCTAGAGTGCTACAAGGAAAAATCTGCTTTGGATAGTAGGATCTTTGGGATTCATAATTACCCAGTGCTCAGGAAATGAAGAAAGGAGCACTTAACACATTAGCATCCTCTTACTTTTTACAATCTGGAACAGCACAGACACAATACACATGACACACGCAGACACACACGACACCACACACTTTCCTCTCTAACAAGGCCAGAGATCCCAAAGCAGGACACTCAGTGACAGCCAACCAAATTTATTTCTGAGAAAAGAAGAGAAAACTTTGCTGTTGTCTGCAGCTCTGCTACAGAACTGCTCCCTGATGCCCCAGGGTTTATGCACTATCAGCTCCTTGCACACAGATTAGAGGTTTATTTTCTATCGCATACTGTTTTTTATTGCCACTGCCAGCAATATTAGCTAGACAGACAAACCGACACTGGGTCATTTTATTTAGAGGAAATGAGATTTTAAAAGATCTCCAAGGACAGTGTTTTCCTCCTTACTGTTTTTTTCTTTTTTATTATTATTATTATCTGCCAGAAAATTGAAGGAAAGCTGGAGAGAAAGGGGGGTGGAAAAAGAGAGACACAGGAAAAGAAGTGTGGTGCTTCTTAGGGATGGAATTATGACTAGGTGCCATTTGAATCTCTCCAGCTCACTGTCCCTCACAGGGGTCAAACTCCCAAGGACTTTGGACTTCTCCTTTCTAAATTTTAATCCCGAATTATATTTCAGAGTTTGGCAGAGCTGCACGAAATAAGACTTTGAAGTCAATAATCAATTTGAGATATTCATTTTATGCCACGTTAATTCTTGCCCAACCTCTGAGCTTAACAGTTCTAGTCTTAAACGCCAGCAACTAGGCAAAATCCCTTTCCTCTTCTCTTCATTCTTGTGTTGATTTCTACCCACATTCCAGAAAAGGCTCAGCAACCAACCAAAGTTCTAAGATTGATTTATTGCTCTCACTGTCAATTAGAAGATCTTTACAAAAAAGTCTTCCATCAGAACTACTGCTAGGACAGCACGAGAGAGTTTTGATGTGCGTGCAGACACACACACACACACACACACACACACACACACACACACACACGGGAGGGACCAGGAGAATGCAGTATATGTACCACTCTTTGACAGCTATCATCCAACAACTCTTCTTTGTGAATTAAGGAACCTCAACACAACTCTAAAGTGCAAAACACCAGCAACTACAAAAGCAAGAATACTGTCCAAATGCCACTTAATGCCATAAGTGAAGTTAGGCTTCCATGACCAGAGACAAGTCTAAAGAATCAAACCACATTCCACCAGCACCACTGGCCCTTGACAGGGACCAGAATTCCCTTGAATTTTGTTGGCTGTAAGTCCACCACGCAGTGATAGCAATACACACACACACAGACACACACACACACCACAAGCCTGCAGCATGGAGATCAGGCACTCACATATATACTACACACACACACACACACACACACACACACACACGGACACGCGCGGCAGAAAAGTTGCCGGAAAGCCCTACCTGAGGATGGCCGTGTCCCCCTGCCTCACGGTGATGTTGTCCGTGCCTCGATTAAAATCCACGCTGCGAACGGGCAGTCCTGTGGGGAGAAGGCAAAGCAATCTCAGTAGGACCAGCGGCAACTGTTTCCGATCCGGCTGCACTCGCCCGACCATGGTGGCCACGCCGAGTCGGTCCGCGCTGGGCTCCGGAGGGCGCGCTGCTCCGCGGAGAGAGGGCTCCACGGACGGGGCGCTCAGCGTTGCAGTTTGTGCTCCTTCCCACTTAGCCTCTCTCTTCCCCTCGCTCAGTCTCTCTTCCCTCTAAGACTTAACAAAGCCCTCCTAAAAACCCAAGCGGGGGAGAGGGAGAAAGTCGAAGGAACAAAATTTGTAAAAGGACCGCACGAATTAAAAAAAAAAAAAAAAAAAAAAAAAACCCTCTTAAAAAGATGCAGAGGAGACTGCCAAATGCAGCGGTGCTTCCCTGGTCTCTCTGTGGCTGGATGCTCCTCTGCCAGCGCGGAGCTGAGCGCCTTCTCTCGGTAACCCACTTTCCCAGGCGGGAGGGAGCCGGCCCGCGTCTGCCAGTGAGTGTAAAGAAACAGCCACGCAGCAGCCGCAGAAGCAGCCTGGAGTCTCTCTCCCCCTCCTCCCTTTCCTGTTTCTGCCTCCAGCCCCTGGCTCCCTCACTACTCAGCACCTCCCCCCTACCCTGCTGGTTGCCAACAGCCCCTCCAAGTCATCCCCTCCCCCTCCCCACGGCGTGGCCCCTTGCTTTGCACAACTGCCCCCTTCAGCAACAGCCAGCCTCAATGAAAGCCTGATGCGCCTGTGGGTTGTCAGGACAACAGCTCCATCTGAGGCCTGGCTGATTTCCTTAAGAACAGGGAGTGGGGCTCAGAGGTACTGTGCAAGAGCGCAGGGAGCAGGGGAATTTAAAGCTATTGAAGAAGGGCGGGATGGGGGTGGGGGTCCAGAGACGAAGGAGGGGAAAAAGGAAAAAAGGAAGGGAAGGAGAGAGGCAGACTTTGACAAACCCAGGGCAAGAAAGAGAGGGAGAGCCCGGGGGCAGGGGACCGCAGTCCAGTCTGGAAGATGGGGTAAGGAAGGTAAAAGGCAAGAAACTTGATACTGGACCCAGATTAAAAACCAAAGTTGATTTCAGAGAAAATATTCCTGGTAAATGGCTTCTCAGACTCGCATCTTGCTCACCCTTCTCTCTCCTGCACTCTCTGCTGTAGGACTAAAAAGATTTATTTTCTCTCCTCTCTTCATCCCCTCCCCCTCCTCGAAACCCCCTTATGAAAGATGGATTGGAGACAATGCTGGTATTGAGTGGTCTGGGGTGTGAATGCTTGGCTTGTCTTTTCCAAGTGCCAGCCTCAGCAGCTGATCCCTGATCCCTAAATCAACCTCACTCTCCAGGAAACCCTCACTCACTCCCACACATGAGTAAAGGTATTAAGGATTGCTGTTTAAAAGGCAAATTGCTGTTGCAACCCAAGTTCCACTGGCACTTGTCTCTCAAAATGTCCTTATGCAAGGAAGTAGATTTATATAGCGGAAAGCCTGTCATTTGCAGGGAGACACCCAAGCGGCATACAGTGCTCTACGGAATGCCAGACAGTTTAGCATCATTTGTCACTCCTACTCCAAGAGCCAAGCAAGAGATGAGGTCTGTAACAGCCAACACTGTTAATCATTCAAATGAGAGCCCCAAACTCCTAGACATCTTCCTCAGCACTGATGCTGGGAATAAAAGATGGGGTTGGACCAGCCAAGGTCTTCTTTTCCTCCTCTTAAATTTTATTTACTTAAATAATTAAAGCATTCACACATGCAAAAACCTAACAGTATGAAATGCTACGGAATGAATTGTAGTCATTTCCCACTGCTGTCTTTGGGCAACCCATTGAACCCATGTGCAGGCAAGAGATATTTCTAGTTTCTTTTGCAAGGGACAAGGGCAGAAGAATTTAGCAAAGGCGGGATCATGCGGATGGCAAACTGAGGCTCCTTCAGGCTTTGATCATGAAAATCTCCCTCAGGCCCTCAGAATAATCACACTTGATTTCCTTTTGGCTCTGTGTTCCAGCAAACTTTTGGGTTGAAGCTGTTTCTTCTGTGATAGCAAAGAAAGCCTAAGAAATTTTGCAGCCAGCTCTAGTGCCTTAAAGAGCTTCTGAGTGATTCTTGTGTCTCCCTCTTACATCTGTGAACTAGAGGAACTCCATGGGAGGAGGTTTCATTTCTTGATTGCCTGTTCTAGAGCATTTTCTGGTCATAAATATCCCACAGATGTACAAGTAAATACTGAAATATATACATATACAAACACACACGCAGAGGTATTACACCAGCCCCTTCTTATTTATGTGAATGTTCAGCCAAGGATACCTGGAAAAATAGTAACTAAATGTAAGATGTTTGCGAATCCTTATCAACCTACCAAACACCAACAGAATACAAGCCCTATGGACGCACTTACTATATTGCCATCTGCCTTGTTCTCCAGAATATTAAAGATTTTCTCTGCAGCTTTTTATCAGTTTAAAGTTTTGGTGAACTCTTGCAGATTATGTGAGGAAAGGAAGACATTTTGTTTTAAGACTTTTAAATATCCAAATCTGATTGTCACAAATTCAAGGTCTATGAAGTCAATTGATGTTCTTTGCATTCATATAAATATGAATTTGTGCATTCATATAAATCAAAGTTTCTTCTCCCAGGGATTATAAGCAATCTGTAGCTAAGAAGTCAGTGCAGTTCTACCACTAAGTTATAGCTTGGCTGCTGAAAACTTTGAGCCCATTTTGCTACAAGAAAAAGAAAAAACAAAAAAACGAGGCTAGATGGGTGTGGTAGCACACATCTGAAATTCCTGCAGTCAGGAAAATGAGGTAGGAGCATCACCACAAGTTCAAGGCCAGCCAGGGCTACACAGTGAGTTCCAGGTCAGCCTGAAGTACATAGGGAGACTGTCTAAAAATAAAGGTACATTAACTGATTAGTTGAATTAGAAAACTCATAATCCTGAGATTTTCATCAATGGATAAATGACTTTTAGGTGTCAAAGGGAGGAACAACGGTAATATAATTCTCTGCTATGATTGCAGGGAAAAGAGCACCTGTCCGCCTAGCAGACCCCACCACAGACTGACTTTCCCTGTCAGGCTTCTTGTGAAATCTTAAGAATGAAGGATTCAATTAGACAAAGACTGAAACATACTATACAGACCCTTTGTTCTTCTGTTGGTGATGCTTCTCCATTTTCAGGAGGAAGGAAAGAAAGACAGCAAAGACAGAGCCTATTTGGAGCATCTATTTCCAGTGATGGCGCTAGGGATTGTATGACCTTCACTGGCGCTCCATATGCTCTGACAGGGAGGACAAGTGAAACCATCCCTTCTTATCAGTAGACTGGATTTTGCATGAAGAAAGGAAGAGGCTTTTCCAGGACAATAAACTATGGTGGGGTGGTCACATATTGTTTGTAAAAAAATGCTTGTCCATGATTGTCATCTAATACCTACATGAGTAATCTCAAGTCACTGGTAGGGTTTTGACAGGTGGTATGAGGAGAAAACATAAAAGTTTAACATAGCAAGGTACGCTATAACTCATAAGAAAGTAGTAAAAATATGCAATTTGTGGTAAATCCATCTGATTTGGGTTTGTCTCCACAGTCACCCTGACAAAAAGGATGTAATGGAAATGCTTAACCTACTTAAGAAGACAAAATTAAAAGTACAAATCTGTATAGAAAAGAATTAAAAAGGCAGTTATAGTTTTTTAAGCATGTTCATTAAATAAAGCCCAATTCTTGGCAACTTATGTTGAACTAAATTAACTTATTATGAGCATTTAAAGTGAAACACCTTTTTTAAAAAAACATGAGTGCATTTCAGAAATAATTCAGGATACTCAGCAATTCAGTCTAATTCAAGTAGTCTGTGGTCCTGAACAGACTGAAAATTATGAAGGTTGGGCTGAGGATGTAGCTCAGGGTAGAGTGTTGATGAAGCTTGCATGAAGCCTTGGGTAAAAACAAAATGATGAAGCTTATTATATAAGCTATAATGTAATATTTAGTATTTATACCCAGACAGCATTTTAAGTACAGTTGTTTAGCCCAACACGAGGCCTGAAGGGCATTCTCTATAACTGAAGAGTATAAGAATGGAGAAATGATTGATTGAATACTCAAGCCCACTCCTGTGACTGACCTCACCACCTACAATATAGAAAATCTATCTACTCTGACTTTAACAATATGGTCTCTCAGACACCTTTTCCTTTTCACTCCTTCATAGAGTTTTCTCTCCTTTATAAGCTCTCACTTCTGAATAAATCTGAGTCCATAAAGTTGGATAATGTACCTTATGCATAAGGTGAGCCCCATATAACCACACTAATATTAACATCTGTGCTTACTTTCCTAAGAAATATGGAAAGCAATACAAATAGAAGAATTCCTGAAATTTATATAGCCTATTTTTCTGCAATCCACTATATATACATTCTTCCAGGAGTATGGGGAAAAAAAATGAACATACTTTTGGGTTATTTGTGAGGCAAGTATGGCTGTTAGCCATGTGAAACAGCCATCATCACCCAAGTAAGATGATCCTAACTACTACTTTAAAATAACATACTGCCTTTCTAAAAGAGGCTTTAGAAGATTCTGGCACTCTCTAGAGGCAAATGCTGCAGGAAAAACAAAAACTGGCTAACATCTGAGTACCCTAAGAAGCGTGAAAGGTTTATTCTTCTGTTTATCTTTCTAAGGTAATAGGTTTGCATGAAATCCAGATGCAGCTTGGAATGTACAAGTAATTTAGCAAAACTGCTAAACATGTCTATAATGTTATTAATGTACCACTCTACATTTCTACAGTTGTAAGGCCTTAATCATAATAACACCCATCCTGTACTTTACTTTCAAGAGTGGAATTAGCATTTCTGTATGAACTAGAAATGCAGAATTGTTAATACTTCTCCTTAGGAGCTCTACTATGACATTCTCAATGATTTCATCATAGTTTAGCAATATTCAAGTACCTCAGATTATGCCCCAAAGTACAACACTATGCCTTATAAACCTTCTTTGGAATCTGGCTCCTTCAAATACAACTTAATTCACATGTGTCTCACACTTAAAATCAGTCAGATTCAGTCAGGTCAAGGTCCAAATTATAGAGCTTCTCTTGTGATGTAACACATTCAACACAAACTCTGCATAAAATCACTTGTAAATTTGCTTTTAGTGCATGCCTTTGTGGGTTGTTGTTACTATATCAGTCTTCTACTTCTAAGCACCTTTTGCTCACATGTTCTGTTTCTGTGGATCAGTGTTTGAATCAGTACACATTTTCACAAGGTCTTTGAGACTCTTGAACTGATACTTGCATGCTTACAACTCGCTTCTGCTTGCAGTGACCCACAGATATACCTGTGCTTACATTTGTTGATGCCTTTGCATAGCAGTATGCTTATGCAGTATACCTTATCATTTCAAAGAAATGCATAGCCCTTAGAACCACCTCTTTTCTAGGTTTCCCACTCTGCCATCATGTAGAATAGCAGGTAATGCTACATCTACACGGCTGCTGCTCACACTTATGAGATTGCTGCAAGATCTGGAAAGACAGCAGGAATAGCATCTTTAGGATAGCGAAGTGTTAGCACAGGTAATCAGGCCATGAAAACTGTGGCTTGTGGTTGTTGTAGGGACTTAGAGTCCTACAATCAGAAATTAGGCCAAAGAGAAATAAGGAGGAATGGAGACACGTTC